CTGTTGCCTATTGCACTGTGAATTAATTGGTTCTGCTTGGAATGAGTAACCCCATTCCTCTTACAGAATAATTGTTGGGAATGCTAGGGTCCTTTTTTGAAGCTGTTTAGATATGTCCTGGAATTTTATAACCTACCTGATTTGTTTCATTACAAAATGAAAAACTAATAAAGATAGTTGTCATTTGAATGAATAATTTCATTTAGGGTAATTATTTCCTATGGGATGTCAGTATTTCAGGTTAGGTATTTAGAATTGCTTTTTGGCTTTATCTTTATTCTAATATGAATTAATATACTCTCTATTGAAAAAAATGTATATTAATATTTGGATTAATTAAAATTACCATTCCTTAATAAAATGATAACAGGTAGTAATATAATATTGAATTTCTTTAAGCAAACAATGTTTTTAAGAACCTCAGTAAATAATCTCGGTATCTTTAACTCAGTGAACATCTTAGATATATTTTCTTTTGTTCCATGAAGTACTAAAATAGAAGATTGTAGCCACACCCCTCCAAAATGTAAATACCATCTCACAGGTGTAGATACACTCACGTTTCTTAGACAGGCTCAGGATTTAAGAATTGGAAAAGTGAGTTAGGCTTGGGCTTCTAACTTTGCAAAGCCACATTTGACCTATAATGTGGATCTGAAGGGAACTGAACCACTCAGCCGGTTCTTCATGCCTATGACATTGAAATTTACATTACAAATAATTTACCCACATTACAAAATATTATTCTTTTTTGTTTGTTTGTTTTTCGAGACAGTGTTTCTCTGTGTAGCTTTGAAAGCTTTGGAGCCTATCCTGGCACTCACTCTGGAGACCAGGCTGGCCTTGAACTCACAGAGATCCGCCTGCCTCTGCCTCCAGAGTGCTGGGATTAAAGGCGTGCACCACCAACGCCCAGCTTATTCTTTAGTTTTTTGGAAACCATTTAAAAGTGGCAACCTTTAAATGGCTTATAGGACATAAAAAGACAACTGGTGAGCAGGTGGGATCTGCAGGCCAACTCGGTTGTATAGAATGAAATGCTGAGAGGTAGGCAATCCACACAATAGCAGAGGTTTTGCTTTGTGTCTTTTCCAAGGAGAGAAATCGTTATGTGCTGTCATAGTCAACAAATTCCTGACAGAGAAAGCAAGGTTTTGAGGAGGCTTTCCACAGAATAGACCACCTAGGAGGAAGTGGGACACAGGGCAAGGCTTGTCAACAATTGCTCCTTGGTTCATTTGTGTTCTGCGTGAGAACTTTTCTTCTGTTGAGTTTTCAGAGGGAGACACATATGCTTGTTTTTCACGCCTTCTGATCTTAGTGATGTAGAAAGGCAGAGAGTACTCCTGTCCATTGGCTAAAAACCACTGACTTACTGACTGGTCTGAGCTAAGTACAGGGAAAGGGAACCCACTAAAACAGCCTCAGATTAATGAGTTATCTAGACTAGGACAAGAAGTCTTTTGTTATTTGTTCAGTTTTTAAGTATCTTCCATGTATCAGGTATCATGCTAGGTACTAAGATTAAAAAAAAAAAAAACTGGCAAGAAGTTAACTATCCTCAGAGCATTCATTCAGTTTGTAATCTTAGTTTTCGTTTAAAAAAAAAAGGCAGCAGTGAGGAGAGAGAGATTTATAGCCGTGAGAAATTTAAAGCTTACATCCTCCTCCATGCACTCCCCACACAGGTTCTGATTTGTTTTGTCTTGGATATGGCCTGAGCATACAGTTTTTTGATTTTTTCTTTTTGGTTTTGTTTTTGTTTGTTTTAAGAGCTCCCCTAAGTGATTCTAGTGCACAGTCAAGGCCAAAAACCTCTAGCATAAGGATAGCTGGACACAAAAAGGTGCAGACACAACAATAGCATGTACAGAACCAAAGTAGCTTTTAGTGAGTAAAAACGTAGAAACAGGATGTCAAAGCATAAAGAAGGGGAAAGAATACATCCCTCCTGAAACTTTGGAACTGTCCTTCTGGAGGGATGGATGCACAGCCACCACGCCAACCTCCATAAAGGAGTGACCCAGAATAGTGAGCAGGGACAAAAGAGGTATCACAGAACAGGTAGCTGTTCACACAGTGCTGTCTGGTTCTAAAGAGGGAACTGGCATTGTGTTTTAATTTACAGAGACGACCCTTCTGGCATGATAAGCATGACTAATGGTCTCATAACTCCAGGCAAGAAGCCCAGTTACTGAGTCATTGCCAAGACCACATGAGAAATGATTAGGGCTTAAATGCCAATTAATGGCAATGAATCTGGGAGGGAAATGACTATTGATAAGATATTAAAGATGTGGAATTAACAGGAGGTGGTCACTGTTGGCGATTAAGAATACTATACACCTGATGGGATTTCAGGATGACTAGACTAGGGATGCCAGGTATCTAATGGGAAGGATAGAAACGGAAATGGCTGGATTCCTTTTGATTCCTTTACTTTGAAATTCTGTGTCCACTAAGAATTCTCTAGCTAACCTTCCAAATGTAGGAACAACAGTGAGAAGTGATGCTTCCCAGAAGATGTGATGGAGGAGTCATCAGTCTGTGCAGAAGACAAGAGACGAGCTTACCTGAGTGAGAAATGCATAGGCCAGAGGGACTCAGCACGTAAGGTGTGGGCACAGGAAAGCAGCTAGCATTGTGGCTCCCAAATGGGTTCAAGTGGCAGTAATAGACCCAGGAGGAAATGATCTTAGAAGAAAAAGCAGATGTAGAAAAGCAAATGGAAATAGAGCATTAGAAGCTTCAAAATAGTCAGAGAGCCTTCAGATTTAAGGCATGCCAGTAGAGTGAGGGTCAGCACCATGGGAACACTGGTTTGAGAGCCATTATTGCAGTTGGCTTAAGACTGAATGTTAACTACCTGTCAAAATGTGAAGAGAATAGATTTAGGAAGCCCTTTTCCTCCTCCTAACATATACAAAATGGGTAAAAAATCTTCAGTGTTAAAAGTATTTTTAATTGGTAATTAAACTAAAAAAGAAATTAATTATCCATATTCCCAGAATGAAAAAGGAATTAAAAGTCACAGGAACAAGTAAAGGCTAGTGCTGAGAAGTCCATAAAGGTGTCATTCTACAGGTAGAGGGGGGGGGGAAAGATGACATTTCAACCTACAACACAAAAAGCTGGAGATTTCATCTGTGCAGAAGTTATTCAAGGGGTGGTTTCATCCCTGAGTACAACCAGGAAACTTAGATGGGGTGACCAATCATTTGAATTTAAAGAAGAGAGAAGGACTTTGGAAGAGAGGAACTCTGGGTCAGGGAAGGAAATCATGTGTGCATTAGGAAATGCATTATAGAGAGACAGAGGTGAAATATAGGATAAAAGAGCAGGGATAACCTAGGATTCCCAAGAGCCTAAGTAGAAGGAGAACTAGAAACAAAGGAAGATGAAATGTATTTGAATATAGCTGCTGAAGAGAGAAACTCAAGTGTTTAGTATGTGCCCACCATTCTCTGGCAGATATAAAGGATGTAGAGGTGAGCACTGAGGATCTACGAGACAAATGTTTTAAATGGCCACTAACTTAAATATGGAGAAGAAGCTGAACTGAGATCCAGTTTCTTTTTCAAATTGCCAAAGAATATTCAGGGCTTGCCTGCAATGGGACGTTATAAATCCGAGGTGGTGTTATGCTATAAGATTTCCAAGTATAAGTTTATAAAAGTGAGACTGAAGAAAAATACAATGAAATGAAGAGAGAAATAAGAATAAGTGATACCCATGAGAGTAATTTGAAAGGCTAGTGGAAGAAGACGGCTGTCATGACCTTATATCTCTGATCAGTTTTTTACCAGAAAACCCCTGCTTGAAGTGAGCAAGGAAAATCCTAGCAATCACCCATAGTTCTCCTAGCCTAGCTTATTTTAAAGGAACTAGGGCAGTATTGTTGCAATATGAAACCATGGTACCTTTGGTCAGGCTGCACCAAGTCAAGGTTTGTTGACCTCACCTTTTCTGATCTATACACATTGAACTATCTATTGGGTCAAGGAACTTTTCTTATAGGTACGTATGCACCATTTATATTCCTCTGAAAATGTATGCTGTATCTCAAAGTGATTCTTAGCACTGAAAGGTATCCTTGCCTGTGATGTGAAAAACCTCCAGAGATTGGACACTTGATCATCAGAAGAATGTCCACCTCATGAACACTCCATAAGTAAATGTCACCTGTCAGAAAGGACTGCTGATGAGAATTTTTAGACCCTTACAATCAGCTATGGTGGCAGAAATGTTGAGTAGAAAGAGAGACTTTGAAATTGAACATTTAAGGTGACTTTTCAGGTACATTCTAGTAAGGGCAGCACTAATAGTGAACCCATGGGCCCTATTAAAGGACTAGAAGCCTGTCAACTCTAGGTCACTAGCCAAAGCCCAGTAGAGTTAGCTATAATCAAAGGTTTTTCCCTGCCTGACATTTGGGGAACAGGCTTTCTTTGTGATGGTAGGTTTGCTTTGAATAAAGGGATGTTTGTCCATCATTCAAAAGCTACTTTCACATAGAACTAATTGGTTGAATAAACCAAAAAAAAAAAAAATCAGAGAACAGTCTATTGTAACACTACTATGTTCACTTATCAGAAAACAGTATTGGAACACTATTGTCACCTTTCAGGTACCACTGTTTTGTCGTTGAAATAGCATTTTAAAAATATTATTCCCCTACTTTTTTTAAAAAATATTTCTTGAAAGGTCCAACCCAAACTGTCTCATAAATTTCTGTTCAACATAAGATATTACCAATTATAAGATGGACAATCAATAATATCAGATTATAATTATTCAACATATTGGAAACTGAGAATGAAACCTGGGAGTGGCATTTCCCAGCAATGTGACCCATGAACAGATACCGCTGCTTCTGACCCAGGTGATGGACTGTGTGTAAGAAGAGAGATGGGCATAACATCTTTTTCTACAACAAAAGCAGTAGAAAACACTCACTGCAGATGATGCTCAAGTGTCCATTTCTCTGTGGCCATTTTCAGGGGCATTGTCCAGTCAGAAGAGAAACTTGTCATCAGTGCATCTTGGGCAAAAGATGATGATATCAGCAGACTCTTGAAATCGTTGCCAAACTGGACTAACATGACTCAGCCCAAACAACTGAGGCCCAAGAGGGAAGAGGAAGAAGACTTCATAAGGTAAGCGTCTACTTTCCAAGCTGCACTAGACAGAGTGCAGGAACCCCATGGGTTCATAAAATCCTTTCTCATGAAATGGTGATGATTCTAAAGATCAAGCAGCAGTTGCTTGAACTTGAAAAATCTTTCCCTCCTCCTCCTTTCCCATGCAAATATCATGCAAATGTGAACCCGATCGAAGCATTGCCACACTGGGCTAAAATGTCTCATTATATATAGATACAATACACCCATTTGTTTGTTTGTTCATTCATCCATTCAGAAAAGCTCTGCGACTCTGTTGCTTGACAAACTGATAGTAAGATACAGTTCAGCTCAGAGTATGTCACAGCACTGCAAGCATGTTCTATAATTTCCATGTTCATTCACACAGACTATATTGTCTATCTCTTGGTTTTGACAAAAGTAAGGTCTCTCTTTTAACTTTTTCACTCAACATTTGTCTTTGTACAGTTTATTTACTTAACCCATGGAACTGATGAAGCTGCACATTTTCCTACATCTGACTTGGAACAGTAACTGTTTTCACTTATGTCATCATTGAACGGTGGAAAGTAGATAAATGATGGCCACAGTGCATTATCGTGTTAAAATTAGGTTTATTCTTATTATCTTTTGTTTATCTAGGTGAAAAAAATAGGTGGTACAATAGAATAAAAAGTACTTTTAGCAAGCAAAGACCAAGAGCTGGAAAAGGAGGCCCATCTGGAATCTTAGCACTCAGGAGATGGAGTTAAGAGGGTCAGGATTTCATTTATTTACCTTTTACCACATAGGGAGTTCTAGGATGACCTGACCCTAGAGTCACAAAGCAAAATAAGGAAGAAGCAGCAAAGACCAAAACTTTAAAAAAGTAATAGCCATTGTCTTACTTTCATTTTATGAACAAATAATAGACTCATCTCTGTCTCTCATAATGTAGATTGAAACTGTATATAATGTGGCTTAAATGAGAATGTCGCCCATATACTCAGGTAGTTGAATATTTGGTCCCCAGTTGGTGGCATAGTTTGGTGTTTAGGTGGTATGACCTAGGAGCAGGCCTTGAGTGCTCATAGACTTGTCCCATTTCAGTTCATTCTCTCTACTTCATTTGTGTGCTTGAAGATGTGATCTCTAAGCTTCCTGTTACTTCCCGATGCTGCCATGCTTCCTCTGCCATTATGAATTCTCCCTCTGGAGCCATGACTAGGTTTTCTGTATAGCAATAATAGGGTTTCTCCACTCCACACAGTAAGCCAGATCAAGCTGTATTGAAAAAGTGAAAGAACAGGTTTATTTGAGCAGAGCAACTCCTGGGTGAGTCCTGCAATCCCAGAGATCAAGGCCAGAGGAGTTATGCACCCAGACTGAAGCAGGGAGCTTATATAGCGCATAGGGAAGGGGTGATGGCACATTTGCCACAATCTGGATTTGTGCCCAAGTATGTATGGTCAAAAGCTGAGCACTTTAGGTGGGGACTTGGGCTGCTGGCAGCTTCAGGGGAGGAGCTATCATAGCTGCCAAGAATATAGAACTGGTCTTTTGGGCACCTTTTCTTTGCTGGAGATTCCCTGAGAGAATGAGTTTGGAGGGGGGGGGGGCTTCTCAGACCTTATAGGATCAAGCTGGAGGTTCCATCCATAAGCAAAATAAACTCTTCTCTCCATGAGTTGCTTTTGTCGTGGTATTTTATCATAGCAACAGAAAGTAACACACACACACACACACACACACACACACACATATAGTAAGTCTTTACTGTTCCTACCGCTGCCTTCACACCTTTATAACTTATTTTCACTGACAGTAGGTAAACTTTTCCTGATATTAGCTTACTTATAGTTACAATTGAAAAATTGTAGGATATTACGTGTAGCAGGCTTTCTTTTGCTGCCAACAAGCTCCCAAATAAAGAAGTAGAGACTTAATTAGTTATAAATGCTCAACCTTACCTTATGCTTGTCCCTCTAGCTCTTATAACTTAATTCTCTTCATCTGTTTTGCCTCTGGGCTTTTTACCTTTCTTTCCTTCTGTATGTCCTACGTTTCCTGCTTCTATCATGTCTGGCTGGCAGCTGCCTGGCTGGCTGGTCCTTGGCATCTCTCCCTACTTCTCCCTGTTGGAGCCTAGAGTCCTCCTATTTATCCTCTCTGCCTGCCATCTCCACCTTCCCTTTACTGCCTAGCTATTGGCCATTCAGCTTCTTCTTAGACCAGTCAGGTGCCTTAGGCAGGCAAGGTAAAACAGCAACACGTATCTATATAATTAAACAAATGCAACATAAACAAATATAACACATCTTTATATAACTAAACAAATGCAGCATGAACAAATGTGACATACTTTTACATAGTTAAAGTAATATTCCACAGCAGTTAATTGTTGGGATGAGATGTGTACACATGTCTGGTGGACATATGTTAGGCCTTGAATTGCTGGGTAATAGTGTATGCAAATTTTGAGGGTCCACAATATCAGTTTTCTAAAGTATTCCTAAGAAGCTGAATATACGACTCAGCCATTAAGAACACAAACTGCTCTTACAGAGGACCCAAATTTTATCCTCAGCTCCCACAACTGCCTGTAATTCCAGTTCCAGAGAATCTGATGCCTTCTTCTTACCTCTTCAGATACCCTCACTCACACATTAACACATACCACACACACACACTTACAGAGAGAGAGGGGGGAGGGAGGGAGGGAGAGAGAGAGAGAGAGAGAGAGAGAGAGAGAGAGAGAGAGAGAGAGCTTAAGATAAATGTCTTAAGAAAAATCAGCACACAGAGTAGGCCTAGAAGTTTGCATCCTCACAGTGGTCTATCAGGTTTCCTGTTGACTTGTGTGTCATTAGGACTGCAAGTAGCCATTCTAGGATGTGTGTTGAGGTAATTTGATGTCATTTAGTATGCATTGCTCTCATGGGTGATGCTGAGCAATTTCCTGTGTATTTTATGAATTTATTGGCCTTCATTTGTGTGTGTGTGTGTGTGTGTGTGTGTGTGTGTGTGTGTGTGTGTGTGTGTGTGTGTGTGTGTGTTTCATCTCTTTTTTATTGCTTAATTTTAATTACATTTTCTGTGGGGGGTTTTCCTAGTGATTTGTAGGAGTGATCTGTATACCAGGTTGCTACTCCTTTGTTATAAATAAATCAGTCTTCTCCCATGTGACAGATTGCCTTTTTACTCATTCATTGAGGTCTTCACTGCCTGTGGACTGTCTATAGTAAATAAGTATAGTTTATTGTTTGTTTTATGGATCAAGCATTTTGTAAGAACGTTGGCTCATACAAAAGTCACAGAGCAGTGTTCCTTGGAAACTTTGGTGTAGTGGTTCCCCAGCATCTGAAAACAAAACAAAACAAAAACTTAATTTTTAATCCTATTCTTCTGTAACCTAAATTTTCCTAAACTGAGATTATGATCTTATGACTATATTAGTAGGAAATATCCTCATATCTACCACCACAGGAGATAAAGAATGAGAGAAGGATTGATTAGCACTCAAGTAGATATCACCAACTGATCTTAATTCAGAAAGCAAGCCCCAAGGTGCTGTGCGTTCACAAAATTGCTGTCCAATCATCATTTTATGGCATTCTCAAGTGGTCTGAGTAAGCATATTCCTACTCCTCCTTATAACTGTTCTCATTTAACTAGATTATTAACCTCAGTAGTTGAATTACAAGCGATTTCTGGATGATAATTTCTTTTGCACCAATATTTCTAATGATTATGCATCTTCTTATTGTTCCTCAGGTTACTTTTATGTAAGAACTTCATTGTAATATATGCTTGCAAAAGATTGTTAATCAGCTATATTAGTTATCTTCTGTAGCTCGATGTAAAAAGGAAACAGTTCTATCCAGAAAAGAGACGCTGAGCCAGGAATACAGCTTCTCTCTGACACTGCCTTGGATTTAAAAGAGCTGGAATTAAGGATCCAGCTTTCTTTACTCCTGTTTTGATCATTCAATCAGACTATTCTTCATATTAAACTCAAAGGAAAAGTCAGTCATATAAATATTTCCTCATTTTTGGTCTCAATGAAATATATATGATTATGCCCATCTAACTAGATCAAAATATCAAAGTCTCCTAGTGTCCTTCAAAGATCTACCATCAAAGTAAGCCCCATTCCAACTCCACCATCATAGTTTATAGTCTTGCTTGTCCTCGTGATTTTTCATAAATTTGGTCATAGAGTCTGGTTTATTTTGCTGATTTGTGCCTGAGATGTTTGGTCATGTTTTTGCATATGAACAGGGTTTGAAAAGCATCATAAGAGAATAAATTTTTGCTGGGTGGTAGTGGCACATGCCTTTAATCCCAGTGCTCTGGAGGCAAAGGCAGGGGGATCTCTGTGAGTTCAAGGCCAGCCTGGTCTGCAAAGTGAGTTCCAGGATGGCCAGGGTTTTGTTTTCCTTAGATGTGATTTTTTTTTTCCTTTTAGCCTGTCACACCCTGCATCTAGATTAGAAGTTGAAACCAAGTAAGTAGGAGATGGCCCCTTTACTGATCCTCCAGTGTATCGGAGTTGACAGAGGGCCTGATTTATCACATTAAAGTTCCATATAGCACTGCATGAGCCAAAAAGACTGGAAAGTCATATTCTCCTATAATTAGTTTTCAAAGCTCAGAACACTATTTAGTGAACAGATGAATACAGATCCAGTGCCCTTTGCAATGAATAAAGGCTATCTATGCTCTCTTCATTATTAAATGAGTCCTTTTTCTATTCTTGTTTTTTAACAAAAAAAATAAATAAAATGTATTATTTCCTGGTTCAGCTTTGAATAGGAGGGAAAAAAATCTAGGTCAAGCTAGGGCTTTAATAGGAAAAAAAAAAAAAGCTATTACCCTTTTGTTCCCAAAGAAGCTAAAAGCAGACTCTCAAGCCCATTGTCTTGCCACCTGTCAATATATATATATATATATATATATATATATATATATATATATA